AAGAAAAGATATCATTATTAACGGTAGCCTCATCTCAGTAAAACCTGCTTTCTGAAGAAACTAAAGTCATTCCCACCATCTGACTGAGTCATTCCCACCATCTGACTGAGCCTCAATGGGGGGAATAAATGGGAGATTCCGAAGCTTAATTTGCTTTCTTGCATTTGGTATACTTGACACATGTAGTTGTGATTGCAAGCAAAATGTTTTAAAGTCTTTCCACTTTCAAAGACATGGAATACTTCGGAGACAGAAGTCAATTCGAGCTGAGTTTGGCAGCTGTTTTTAACTTTCTCTGAGAATCAAAATGTAGATCTGGAAGGAGGGGGACAGGTACTGAGTCGTTTTCTTAATCACAATCTTAAAAAAAAAGTGCAGATGGCAGAGCCGAACATTCAAAACAAAAACATGGCTCAAAAGATGGGTTAGGAATGAAGCCAGGTCACAGAGTGGGGTGATGGAGGTGTCGGGCGTCAGCTCCTGTGTCCTAATTCTAACCATTCGGAGTGTGATCAACTCTGATTCCTGAGGGTGACCATCACATTGATCACGTCCCTCCTTCTTTCTTTCTTCTTCCTCCAATGTAGGTCCATCAGGTTTGCCTGTGGGCATTACCTGCATCCTGCTAGTGCCATCATTCCAGCCAAAACAGATAATGGTGACTCGTGTGCTAGGCTTCAGGGTGTCTGGAATTATAGCATTTAGAACCAGGGTTCCCAGACCAGTCAAATTCTATAGTCACCCGGTGCAGGGCCCACAGACTGCCCGTGAGGTTACTTTCTGAAGTCCGTGAGTGTCATCAAGCCAGCAGAGTTCAGGGTCCTCCGTAAAAGTGAGTTAGAGTGCTGAGCGAATTGTTTGCTCCTCTGCGTGTGTAATGCATCTTTAATTACATTTCATAAAAATGTCTGGATGGATTGATGGAGCTTTATTTAAACTTCAAGTAGGCACAGGGAGTAAAACAGTGCAGTATAACATGTTCTGTTAATGTGGGCTCAGAACACATTGACTTTATAGCAGTTCAGCAGAATCTTTGATGTGGGCTACTTAAAAAGATATTATCTTTGAAAAGCTTTCCTTTGAAAGATAGAGTGGGTGTTGGCAGGCTGGAAGCCATCAACCAGATAATCAATTGACAAACATGTTGACACTTATACCATTCACTGCATGGGCTCCCCTGGTACATGTAAAACACTGGTTTATTTTAGAAAAAAAGAATACATTTCTCAAAATCCCTTTCATTCACCCTGTAGAGTTTTATGAGGGAAGTAGTGTCAAACATAAGCTCTTCATAATGAAAAAGAAGTCTCTTTGGTCTGTTTTCACTGAACTTTCTATCAACATGGATTATTTTAGGTTCTGATCTGGGTATATGATCTGAGGAAGGAAAATAGATACTGCTTTTAGCAAACAACTGCTCAGAACTGCGCTGTGGAGGGAAGTTACAGTTCATTGCGAAGATTGCATTTATACCTGCAAAAAGCTATCACTGTTTCTCCAGGATATTATATTCGCTCTTTTTTTTCCCCCGTGAATACTTCTGATAGAACCACAAAATTGTGTTTTTTCCCTGGGGCTGAAAAAGATAAAGAGCTGGCCGAACACCTCCCTCTCTGCAGCTCTGGGGGTCTCCATGGGTGCGGAGGAGGAAGGCTGTAACCCCCAGAAAGATGTAGGTTCAAATAAGAATACGGGTGCAATATGTACCCCTGAAATGGATCTTCTGTGGTTGGCTCTCTTTTGTCTTCATACCCAACATTCCATCTTGGTTTCCAACCCTGTGAAGAAAAAGTGCAGACTCTTGAATCCTTGATGGGTTGGGTCTATCGGCGTAGTTAATTAAAAAAGACAAAACAAAACAAAAAAACCTGACCTCCCCTCTCCCTTGAGCACAGGAGGTGGATTGGGCTCAGCGAGGATGAGGTTCTTGGATGGAGGCGGGGAGGGTGGGTAAGAGTGACCCATCTGAGAAACTGTGGAGTTGGGCTTGGCCACCAGCAGCCACTGGCCACCAGCAGCCTGCTCTCCAAGGCAGAACCCAAGACATGGGTTTGAGAAAAGAAAAGGCCTGCTCTCCAGGAGGGCTGGAACTGAGCTGCTGCTGCCGCACAAGAGATCTGTTGTGATGGATTAAATTTCTTTTGTACACAGTCTAATGCACAAGTAATTTGGCTAAACCTGGTAGTTGGGACAGTAGCCAAAATAGCGCATCTTTGACCCATCTTTGGTCAGCTTGACACTGCTTCGCCTTTGACCTTTATTGACTCTCAGCCCCTTGGCCTTAGCAACCCCTCCCCATCTGCCCCAGGGGAGCTGACTTGGGACTTTTGAGGCCTTTGAGTCCTTTGAGTCCTTGAGCAACCTGATGTCCACAAGAGCTAACTGTCCCTGCAGCCTGAGCCTGGAGGCTCCTGAGGCCCCTCATTACGTCACACGTGGGGATATACATGGCAGAGCCTAGCATGGTCCTGGCACAAGAAGGTGCTCAGTAAATGCGGAGGAGTGAGGGGGAGTCGGGAACTGCCCCACGGCTGATGGCAGGAGCCCTGGGAGCCCTGTATCTTCCCACCGCTGCCTGCAGCTCGGGGTGGTAGGGTGGGGGAGGGGGTGTTGGCTGATGTTCAGGAGCCTGGCTTGGCAGAGGGGGTAGTTTTTCATTTCAGAGAGCCTCTTGCCAGGCTCATGGAGGACAGCAGTGGTTCATTCCAAACTCTTCTAGGATGTTCTTTCTAATGCTGACTTCCTTTATGACATAACATGCTGCCAAGCTCTTGGATGCCCATCTCTAGCTCCCATTGCTGCAGCTGGGTGCACTCAGCCCCCACCTATACATTCATGCCAGCCTCAAACCTCTAGGATGAGGCCCTCTCAGGGGGAACCTGGGCTGGAGGCTCAGCCTCACTTCCCCTTCCTGTGGACCTGACTCCTGCTTCTTTCCTGGTTCCAGTCACTAGACTTTTATCGTCCCTGTGGTTCCGCCCCCCGCGCTGTATCCCAGCTTCACCATCCGCGTCACTGTCCAGTCTCCCTGCTGCTGGGGTTCTGCTTTGTTTCCTCGGACCTCCAGGAAGTCTGTCTCTGAACCCCAGCACAGGGCAGGACCCACTTTCCGACCAGTCCTTTTGCTAGGAGCTGGGTCTCTCCATACTGCTTGCTTTCTGCACGCCCGCTCAGCGCCCAGCCTCCCCAGTAACCCCACCCCCACCCTTGTTACCCACTCTGCAGGCCTAACCAGGTAGGAAGACTGCTCAGCAATACGTCAAGCAAGTTTCCTAAACCTGCTGTTCTCACACAATTACCTCAGCCCTGCCCTGCCTGGGCAGCTGGACTCCCTCCCATTTCCCGCAGCCCAGGCAGTTCCCAGGGTCTACCCACCCACCCGAGGGTGGGGCTGGGCCCGATAACCGGCCCTGTTGCTGCCTGAGTTCTGCTCTCAGGATGAGTGCAGCTACGGAGCAAACGTGAGCATGCAGCTGGGTGCGCACACACATTTCCCCGGGGGGGCTGGTTGTGGGCCCTCTTGGTAGTTTGATCCCTGTCCATCGGTTCTTTGGAGAGACGATCCCTGTCACCCGTATTTTAATGATTGGTCAAGTTAAGGTGAGATTTATTTACTTGAACACATGGCCTATCCCGGGGGAGGTAGTTTCGACGTAGGACCCAGTTTAACACGTTCTCGAGTCATGATCTATTTCAACAAGAAAGGACTTGTACTATATAATTTCCCCAAACTTAAACATTCAGCTTTGCCGCAGATCTGGAGGGCTGCCCCTTCGCTGTACCCCGTGGGTGAGAATTCTTGTCTCATGACAACCCACTGAGCCGGCATTGAATCACCCAATTACTGCAAATTCTTTTCTAAATAGAAAGCACTCCACAGCCTCCAGTGGAAAAATTCCAAGATCTGCATCAAATATCTAGCTCGTTGTGGGCAGAAGCCCGTTTTGGGCACCAACGACCATTCATTCCTCACTTCATTTTCAACACCAGCAGAAGTTCTGCAGGTGACTCGGATAAAGGTGGCCGAGAAGCCCCTGGGAGAGTTTGCACGTCTGCACCTTACCCCCACCGCCCAGCCTCCTGAGCTCCAGCCCCCATGGGGCATGGAGAATAAGCTGCCTTGTTTGGGAGGCTTGGTTGGGCCCACTCAGTCTGAGAGGCATGTGGATGCGTAGGGCAGAGTGCTTGAGACCGCCTCGGAGACTCGCTTAGCCTGAGCGGCGGCTTGACTGCGAGAGAGGGCTGGAAGTTTTGCATTTAGGGCTTTGGCGCTGAGCTGGGAAAGGAAGAGAAAGAGGGTGGGTGGGATTGTGTGTCTTAATTCCACCTCAGTCTTCTCATCTCTGGAGCAATTAGCTTCTAAACAAAGCTCTTATTAGGGCCTTGCATTCTGTGTCAGTATTCAACCTTAAAAAAACAAAGGTTTCCAACCATTTGTACAAGTACGTATGCTTTAGGCAGATGGAGTAATAGAATACTAATGGGCAATGACTTGTAATGAAAAACAATAGATTCTAGTGCCCACGCAACTGTTCACATTTTTGCTCTGTTCTCTTCCTAGCTGTGTGACCTCAGGCAAGTCACTGGGTAGGTTGAGGGGGTGGTGCTTTGGTTTCCTTACCTGCAAAACCAGGAGGGTGCTATCTCCTTCATTTATTTTTGTGAGGAGGAAATGATTTCATGGAGCTAACCCAGGTGGCCCATCGAGCATGCGATAAACACATTTTTCCTCTAAATTAAGGCCAGTAGTTGAAGGATTAGAGTGTCATTGTGGAGTCCAAAGGTATAGTTGATCTTTGACCTCCAAGGCAAACCAGGAGCTGGGACTGAAAACAGCGATCGTTTAGTATTGAGCAGAACTGCTAGGAAGTGCACCTTCCAGGCCTTTCCAGGACACCTCAGGAGTTTGGTTGGCCCTCAATCTACAGGGCAGCCTGACACTTGGCTGTCACCCTTTGCCTTCTGGGGTGACTGGCATTAGTGCGACTCCGTTGGCCACTCTATCCGGCCACTTTCTTCTTCTGGGGCTTGTCCTGCGTGCGGCTGGCGCTGGCCTCCCGTTGCAGCCCATGGCCCAGCACGCAGAGCTCTGGGGCAGATGCACTCTTGCCACCATCCTTCAATTCTGAGGCACCGGGGCTGCTCCACAGCGCTGTGTCCTTCCTAAGGCTCTCCTCACTGCTGCTGCCAAGAGAAAGGACAAACACGAATCACACACTCCTCTGCCGTTCCTCTGAGCCCCTCCCCTGCTCTTCATTCTGCCT